CACGTTTTAAAAATTTTTAGGGGAAGCCCGAAAGGGAAAACCCAAAGAGGACAATATCTGCTAGCGGTGGGCTCGGGATTGGGCTTGGACTTTTACAAATTTACTAAGCCTCGGTCTTTGGAATAACTTTTTTCCATCTTCTTCGTTAGTCGTTCGGTAGAGTTAAAAAGTTATGGTATCGTTTTTCAGAGGGAGTATGAAGAATTCAAGATTCGAATCAATGCACTTGTTGCCAAAGCACAAAAGATGCCTGAGGAAGGTTGGACCATGCAGGATGGAACGCCATGGCCAGGAAACAATCCCAGGGATCATCCTGGAATGATACAGGTCTCCTAGTGTTCAAATAGCTTTTTATGACATCTTCTTTTATCCTTTTTTCAGGACTAATACCGATATCGTGTATGTTCGAGTGCAGGTTTTCTTAGGCCACAGTGGTGGTCTCGATACCGATGGCAATGAACTACCTAGACTTGTTTATGTTTCTCGTGAGAAACGTCCCGGCTTCCAGCACCACAAAAAAGCTGGAGCTATGAATGCATTGGTTCGTTTTTCTTATCCGATACAATCATGGCATAAAAGATACAATAATTTTGATTTAACGACTCGATTTTATCTCATATGCAGATCCGAGTTTCTGCCGTGCTAACTAATGGAGCGTATCTTTTGAATGTCGATTGTGATCACTACTTTAACAACAGCAAAGCTCTGAAGGAAGCCATGTGTTTCATGATGGACCCTGCTTATGGGAAGAAAACATGTTACGTACAGTTCCCACAACGTTTTGATGGCATTGATTTGCACGATCGATATGCCAATCGTAACATTGTCTTTTTCGACGTAGGGTATTCGACGTTTTCAATCATATATCTTCATGTCATTTTGCTTGTGATTGACATCGTGTTCGTTCTTGCTATACCTTTCAGATAAACTTGAAAGGGTTGGATGGTCTCCAGGGTCCTGTCTATGTCGGAACTGGTTGTTGTTTCAATCGACAAGCTTTATACGGTTATGATCCAGTCCTGACCGAGGCAGACTTGGAACCGAACATTATCATTAAGAGTTGTTGTGGTTCGAGAAAGAAGCACCGGAATAAGAAGTACGTCGACAAGAAGAGGGCTGCAAAAAGGACTGAGTCTACCATTCCTATCTTTAATATGGAAGATATTGAGGAAGGCGTTGAAGGTCGGTTTTCCTTCAAAATACTTTGCCATAGTTTTCGAGATACGGTGACGAAGAACGGAATTATAGAACGGATTTTCACCTTATTTGCTGTATCCTACAGGATATGATGATGAGAGTTCACTCCTGATGTCTCAGAAGCGTATAGAAAAACGCTTCGGCCAATCTCCAGTTTTCATTGCAGCCACTTTCATGGAACAGGGAGGTATACCACCTTCAACCAACCCTGCAACACTGCTAAAGGAAGCAATTCATGTCATCAGTTGTGGTTATGAAGACAAGACAGAATGGGGCAAGGAGGTTAGTTGTTTGTACATTCGTCGTCCTCGTTTCATTTATCTTATTTCTTCTCGTCTGTTTCATTTATCTTATTTCTTCTCGTCTGCCCGTTCGTTAGAGAGCTTCAAAGACGAGCATACTGATCTTACTGAAGAAGTGAGAAAGTGTTCTGTGATGGATTGTGAGATCCCACATCGGTTGGGGAGGAGAACGAAACACCCTTTGTATAGGTGTGAAAACCTCTCCCTAGCAAACGCGTTTTAAAAACATTGAGGGGAAGCCTGAAAGGGAAACTCCAAAGAGGACAATATCTGCTAGCGGTGGGCTTGGGCTGTTACAAATGATATCAGAGCCTGACATCGGGCGATGTGCCAGCGAGGAGGCTGTTCTCTGAAGGGAGGTAGACACGAGATGGTGTGACAGCGAGGACGTTGGGCCCTGAAAGGGGGTGGATTGTGAGATCCCACGTCGATTGGGAAGGAGAACGAAAAACCCTTTATAAGGGTGTGGACACCTCTCCCTGGCATACACGTTTTAAAAATTTGAAAGGAAGCCCGAAAGGGAAAACCCAAAGTGGACAATATCTGCTAGTGGTGGGCTTGGGCTGTTACAAATTGTGTCTAACGGTTAATGTTTTTACTTCTAGATTGGGTGGATCTATGGTTCCGTGACAGAAGATATTTTGACGGGGTTTAAGATGCATGCTCGTGGTTGGATTTCGATATATTGTATGCCTCCACGCCCGGCGTTTAAGGGATCTGCTCCGATCAATCTTTCGGATCGATTGAACCAAGTGCTTCGATGGGCTTTGGGTTCGATAGAGATTTTGCTCAGCAGGCATTGTCCTATCTGGTATGGCTACAATGGAAGGCTAAAGCTTTTGGAGAGAATAGCATACATCAATACCATTGTCTACCCTATCACCTCAATTCCACTTCTTGCATACTGTACGCTTCCAGCCTTCTGTCTTTTGACTGGAAAGTTCATCATTCCTGAGGTAATTCGTAGTTTCTTCCTTGTGAAATTGAAATTTGATCAATTATGTTTCCATGATAAACCATTTGTTTGATCTGATCTAGTAACAACTCACTAGTAGATATTGTCGTCTTTGGGCTTTCCCTTTCGGGCTTCCCCCTCGAGGGGTTTAAAACGCGTCTACTAGGGAGAGGTTTCCACGCCCTTATAAAGAATGTTTCGTTCTCCTCCCTAACCGACGTGGAATCTCACAATCCACCCCCCTTCGAGGCCCAGCGTCCTTTTTTCCCTTCTCCAATCGATGTGGGACCCCCCAATCCATCCCCTTTTGAGGTCCAGCGTCCTTGCTGGCAGTGGTTTTCCCTTTCGAGTTTTCCCTCAATCCATCTCCTCCCCAACCGATGTGGATCTCATAGATCTAAATGTGGGCTCTTCCTTATATGTCTCATTCAACGACATTATAAATGTTGAGAGAACTTCAACCTCTAGCCTCTTTGTCGAGGGTATACCAATTGCCGTGAGCTATGCTCACTTTGGTTCTCCATATATTTTAATATATGTAGATGTAACAATTATGATAAACGACCCCCTGCATGGCCCTTGTCGTAGCTTGAGAAGCTTCTCATCTATATAGTATTGAATCGGCCATCATTATCTATTTCGTATTTTCTATCCCGGGATTTCGTTGATGTCCTACTGGTCTGTTGGTTTGAGCCTCTCGACTTCCGAGCGTTCTTTTCGATAATCAAAGAACCGTCTTTATGATGCCTTAGCCCTTCAGTAACACTTTTTGCTTGATGATTATTGATTTTAGACTAAAAAAAAGCTGATACTAGCTGCAAGTAACCATATTTCTTTCATTTTAAATAACCGATCATCTTCATTTCCTAATTTGCAGATAAGCAACTTTGCCAGTATGTGGTTCATTCTCCTTTTCGTCTCCATTTTCGCCACCGGTATTCTCGAGCTTAGATGGAGCGGAGTTAGCATTGAAGACTGGTGGAGAAACGAACAATTTTGGGTAATTGGTGGTACTTCAGCTCATCTGTTTGCTGTCTTCCAAGGTCTCTTAAAGGTTCTTGCTGGAATCGATACCAACTTCACCGTCACGTCGAAGGCCAGCGACGATGACGGGGATTTTGCAGAGCTTTACGTGTTCAAATGGACTTCCCTCCTCATCCCTCCCACCACTGTCCTTATTATAAACATGGTTGGCATAGTGGCTGGTGTTTCATATGCCATTAACAGTGGTTACCAATCTTGGGGCCCTCTCTTTGGGAAGCTGTTCTTTGCATTATGGGTCATTGTCCATTTATATCCTTTCCTAAAGGGTTTATTGGGGAGGCAAAACCGAACCCCTACCATTGTCATCGTCTGGTCGATTCTCCTCGCTTCGATATTCTCCTTGCTTTGGGTGCGAATCGACCCGTTCACCTCTGCGTCGACGAAGGCTGCCAATGGTCAATGTGGTATCAATTGCTAGACAGATTCATCATAGTTTTGCCTCTGATTTTTCCTGTGAATATGACAAGAACTAAGAAACCATGGCATTGAAAAGAGCCAGGCTTAGGAAGAAGCAACCAATTTGAAGAACATGAGAAACGATGGCCTTTTTTCTTTACACCACAAGTTTTTGTATTCGCATGTTATGATATTATTGTGAAATCTCATTTTTTTTAAATGAAAATAATAGATAAAGGCATTATTTATATCAGGAGAAATTGTATGAACAAACACTTCTTTTTGTTCTTTTTTTCAAGTTTTATGACAGTGAAATTATAATTTAATAATTGTTCATTTAGATCACAGTTCATCAGCACCAGAAATCTATTCTATCTGATATATATACGCCCAGAATCTCTTCCTTTTTACGAGCTTATGAGTTACGTTCTTGTTAACTTGTCTTCTGCTGCTCGAAATGACACCGGTAACGGGAACGTCGAGCTACCTCCGGGACCAATTAAAGGCTCTGATGGCAGAACATGTAATCAGTCTGAATCAAACGGGTGGTTGTTTCTTGTTGTGTAAGTGAAGGGAATCCAAAACGAGAGAGAAGTCTTCACAAAAGCTGATATCCATCATCATCTCATTGAATGGTTCACCAAGCTATTAGTCTTATTAAAGTCGGTAGCTGAGATTCTCTTCTTCTCCCGAACAGCATTAGATTCTATTTTTTACTACTTAAGAATACCACTTTCCATTAAAAGAGCTGTGGACATAGCTAAACTTTCTTTCATGCTCGACATAGAAAAGAAAAGTCAAATCCCAAGGCCATTGCCTTACTTTTACCGACTAAATTTGAGGTATAAGTTTTATTTGGCATCCTATTTCAAGTAATTTTATCATTTCCTTCAAATTAGATCCTAAAATATCATACCTTTTTCTAAATACTTTGACTACGTAATTATAAAAAAAAAATTAAAAGATTTATATAAGTTTCTTCTGGTTTGGTCTATCTCTTGTTTTGTTCATGAGTTTTGAGAATGTCCCAAATTCACATATTGAATTGAAAGATCCAAACAAAAGATCATGTGGGCAAGCGAGCAGTTGTCAGATAAGCATTGGGGTTAATCAGAACTGACCCATAAAGCCAAATCTAATCCACAGAGTATCATTAGCAACAGAACAATTGAATACAGCCTAAAGTGAACAGATAAGCACTCAACTGAACATTCATAGTTTTCCTAAACAGTTGTAAGAGAAAAGGGAATTGAAATTGGGAAAAGGGGAAGAGGATGATGCTGTCAAGAAATAATTAATGAAAGCAAAATGGGGTTTGAGAATTTCTAATTCTGCAAGCTTCATCACATTCATCAATGGCGGCAGGCATCTCAATCAAGCAACAGAACCAAATCTCATGCACCTAATAATATTACTAAAAGCCTAAAGTAACAATGGAGAATGAAGAAATGTAGAACAAAAACCTGAATTTGAGTTCATGTAGAGATCCCAAATTCTTCAGCTGCTCCAATTCTCCATATCAATCCTTCTCTTTGTTCTTTGTTCTTCCTGGATTATTGCTATGTTCTTCGTTCTCATCTCTGAATTCAGGCTTCAGATTCGTTCTTCTTCACCAATCCGTCATTCTCCCTCTTCTCTAGCAATGTCCCTGCCTCCTCATCGGCCTGAGCAGCCTTCTTTTGCGCCTCTTTAGCCTTCAGTGCCTGCAATTTTGAGTGATTGTAATATCCAACTCCGATGAAAGCCAATCCATAGCCGAACAAGTTAATCGGCGTTACGGTGTCCTTAATCACCGACCACGAGAAGGCGATTAGGAGCCAATCCTTGACCACGCCGGCCACGTTCATCGTTAGGGCGGAGGTTTTGCCAACAAGCAAGAACACAGCGAGATTTAGGGCAAATGCGCATAAGGAATTGGTACCAAAGATCGCAAAATCGAAATGGAAACTGGATGTGGCCATCAAAATTGGATACTCAACGAAGATCCACGGCACTAACAAGAAAACGAAACAACAAGGAGCAACGTAATACAAGGAAGTGATTGGATTCAGCGAGATTCCTTTAGAGGTAAGCAAAATCTGGATTAGAACAAGTCGAGTCGCCTCGAATGCAACGGCGCCGAGTTGCAAAACCACACCCCAGGCATCAAATTTCGCTTCGCCATAAGCAGCAATAGCAACACCAAACGAAATCGACAGCATATTCACCATCGTCTCCGTCTTGAAACTTTCCTTTCTCAACGAAACACCGATCGAATAAACAGCGACTGGCATCAGAGCCTTAAGCATCTGAATGAACGAGACAGAGAGATAAATGTAAGCCGAATTCGAAAGCCATAAAGAGAGAGAATACAGCGCTCCGATTGGAACAACGGAGGAGAGATAGAGATCTCTGGACATGGAAACCGGCTCGACGACTTTGAAGACACGAATGAGAAGGAACGCCAATGAAGCACAGAAGCCCATATGGATCATGGTAAGAGAAATCGGAAAAGGCCAATCGTACATCTTCTTGTCGAGAATGTACTTGTTGTAGACGATGACGGTGAAGCTGAGGAAGATCCAAATCGCGACATAGGTGTACGAGAGAACAATCTTCTTCAGAACACCTTCACTGAGAGAACCACCCTTGCCCATGGCGTCGATTTGGGGGAAAATGGCGATGAATCCGATGAGAAAGAACAAGAAATTTGCAGGAAAATCCGAGAAATGGAGCAGAAGATTCAGCAATGGAGATTCAAAGAAAAGAACTGAGTTCGATTCGAGTACGAATCAGAGAGGGAAGATGAACGAGACGGAGAAATTTGGGAGAATATAAATAAATCGAACAATTAATGGTGAAGAACACACAGTCCATAGATCCATTACTGCTTCCATTGTTAATTCTTTCACTCAACAACTTCCAATGAACTCTAAGCATAAATTAATTTTGTTTAATTTTTTATTTTTTATTTTTTAAAATCTTGAATATTAATTTTTCTTAAAATATGAATTTTATTTTTAAGATTTATCAAATCTAAAAAATAATTATGAAATTAAAAAAAATTATATATCATAACCAAATATATATGTTTATATATTTTTTAATTAATTTAGCACAAATAAATTGATAATATAATTGGATTTTATTTATTTTATATTTTATTATCTTTTTCTTTTTTTCATTGGCCAAATAATGAAATAAAGAAAGTGTGGGGCCTCAAATGAAAAGAATCTTATTTTGTTGTCTTGTGTCCGAATTTTTAAATGATTGAGGGACTCCCATGTTTGAATTTGAATTTTGAATTTTGAATTACTTCCTTTACCATTTTATTAAATACAATTTATGGAATAATAATTACTAATCGTAATAACTCAAGCCCACCGCTAATAGATATGTCTGCTTTAGCTTTTTATACATCGCCGACAGCCTTACCATTTTAAAACGCGTGTAGCTGACGACGATATGTAACGAGCCAAAGCATACACAATATCAACTAGCGATAAGCTTGAACTGTTATAATTGATATCAGAACCAGTCACTAGAGACACTAGTTAGAATAGGGCTAAACTCTCCCCATACTAGACACATTTTAAAACTGTGAGGCTAAGGATGATATGTCACCGCTCGTGTTTTTTTGTATTAAAAATATTATTATTATTTAATCAATTTTGATAAATTAATATAACTAATTATTAAATTTATTGAAAGTAAGAGAATAAAATTAAATATTTGAAAGTATAAAATAAAACTCATACTACTATTTTAAATAATAAATATTTTTTAACGAAATTTTAAATAAAAATTTATTATATGGTCAAAATTGCAATATTTTAAAGTTTTAAGGCTAAAAATATAGAATATATAATATAATGTTTATAATTTATTTATATTAAAAAAAATTGGCAATTAATTATTAATTAAATAACTTAAATCTTAAAAATAGGAGGAACTTTTTAGAGCTGAATTAAAGGCTCTTTTACTTGTATTCCAAATCATGTCCAAAAATCTTTTTAAAATATTATTTAAAAAAACGCTTAATTTTAAAGTCAAAAGGATTTTATTAATGGAATAAATGCCTTTAAATTGGGGATTTTTCAATTGACCAAAATAAATATCACGTGCAATGCACGTGACATTTGTCATTTTATTATAAATAAATATTACCTAAAAATGCCTACCCAATTTTGAAAATGAAGCCATTGAAGAATATATTTATAAAAAAAACAAGTTGAAATATATAATATAATTATTAAAGTATTGTAATAACCCGAAAATAATAAATAAATTAATTAATTAAATAAAAAAATAATAATAATAATAATAATAATAAAAAAAAAAAAAAAAAAGAAGACAGCAGCAGCTTGAAGCTGCTGCCATGGAGAAAGGAAGAATGGACAGGTGGTTGAAGGGAAAAGAAAGAAAAGAGAGGAAGATGGAGGTGTGGGAGGAAGAAGGGTGGTTTATTTTGTGTTAGTGTTATGGATGGGGGTGGTGGTTGTCGTTGGCAAGGCCGACGAGGAAGCATCAAACAATACCGAAGAAACAGAGGAAGAGGGAAACAGAAAACAGGGAGTGTTATAATCCGTGTTTTCCGGCAAAAAACCTTAAGTTTTTTTTGGCGTTTGTTGTGACAACGTGCAAACATGAGGATGGGGAGACGATTGTGAAGGCTTTCCAGCCATTGAAGCTCTGAACTAAGCTGAATCGAACGGTAATTCAAAGGTAACGAAAAACCCATTTCACCGAACCTTTAAATCTCGATATCTTGGTTCGTATTGTATAATAAGTTATGAAATAGGGCTTGTTAGAAACGTAATAAGGAGATCTATAAATTTGTAGAAGGAATCAGGATGAAATTCGAACCGTAGAAGGAGGATATGGCTTCGGGATATGGTAGGTATTAACAGAAAAGATGGAAAATTTCAGAAAAACGCAAGGAAGAAGAAGAAGCGCGTGCACTACACGCAGGCGCGTGCGACTGGGCGTGCGACTGGCGCGTGGGACAGACACACCGAGGCGCGTGAGGGCGCGTGAAGCGTCCGTTCGGTTCCCGGTTTGTCCCGTTCGATTTGTTTTGACCTGTTCTACCTAGATTGACCTATACTTACCTTGAAAATGGTGAAATATAGGTCTACTTGGAAGGAATTGTGTTGAAATACCCTATTAAATGTACAATCAAGAGAGAAAGGGATTCGAAACCAGGTAAGTAGCGTATCGACCTTTGAACTAGTTCTTAACTTGTTTTACAACATGTGAGTATGTTGTTTACCTGATTAAGAGCTTAATAAGTTATGATGAACTTCGATGATAGTTTGTGTTTATTGTATATTGTGACTGCTTGCCTGTGATGTAAGCATGACATAAACGATTGTCAGAATGTGCTACGTGTGATCATGATACTTGTATGAAAGCATGCAGCAACTGTGAGTATGTTATGCATGTTAATGGAAAGGTTATGATTCTAGATATGCTTATTGGTGGTTGAGCTATGGCTTATTTACTGAGTATGATAGTCTACTAATTCCCGCGGAGTTCCTGGCCAACGCGCTGTGTGCTAAGTCAGGGAGCATGAGTACTCCTGACCGTTGGTATATGAGATAAACAGGCCGCCAGAGCAATTAGTAGACGGGCCGTATTTGACCGAGAGCGAGTCTTACATACGAGTCCGAAAATTCTAGATAAGCATATCGAGAGAGAGTCAGTAACCTAGCTGGAGGTAGCTGAGATACCTCATTAACGAACAGATGACCCTAGTAAGAGAACTAGGAGTCAATGATGAATAAAACCTAAAAACATCTGGAAAGATTAGTTATGAACTCTTGAATGATAAGCTAGCTACTTACTGAGTAATCTAATTACTCATCAAAATTATTATAACTTTTCTTTCCAGATTTAGATGATGCAGGCCAACCGAGGACGAGACCAGCGGACTGAAGACTACTGGGAATCCATGTCTGTGTCTGTTCTGTATATTTATGTTTTCGCTGTCAAGAATTTACTTCGGTTGATTTAAGTTTAAATAGCATTGGTTTTAAATGTTTTACTGAATGTTTTTTTAAATATGTTAAGATTATGATTGGGTGTTAGAGTATGTTGTCGTTGATGGTGGTAACCCCTGTTAATCGCGTTGACGATGAGCGGGCGTTACAAGTTGGTATCAGAGCCTAGGTTATAGGTTCTGTAGACAGTCTAGAATAGACAGTATGGATCCCTTTAGTCCAGCCCAACGGTATCTCACCTCGGTCAGGTAAGTGATGCATGACTAAATTGTATGAAAGAATAGTATGAAAGTTTAAAAGAATTGATTATGAATACTTAATTATGTGTATAACAGATATGGTAGTGTTAAAATGTTTAGACCCTAGAATGTCCAATGTGGACCTGGGGATTGAGGGGCAGCCTATAGAAGGAACTGCTCCAGGAGTGGCGATTCCGGAGACTACTTCTCAGTCGGCATCTAGAGATCAGCCGACTGTTGTTATTACTCTGGAGGCCTTGCAATCGCTGATTCAAAGTTAAGTGAATCAAGCGGTGCAGAGCCGAATGGATTAGGTGGTACAGATAGCTTTTGCTGGTTTTGGTAGGTGGGCGGCTCCGACAGCACCTGTACCTAGCCATGTGACTCTAGTGCCTGAAGCACAAGTAGGTGTTCAGGTAGCGATACCTCCAACAATTTCGAAGGAGCTACCTGGTACAACGGTAGTGACAGAGGCACTACTACGGTTAGTAACCTATGGGCCATGATGTATGACGAAGGAAAGTGAATACATATGAAATTTTATGAAATTTACCCCGCCAACTCTTGGAGGAAAGGGACTGATCCTTAGGCAGCTGAATGGTGGCTGGAATGTACTGAAACAAAATTACATTCTTCAACTGCCCAGGGAGTCATAAGATGCTGTGCGTCATGTATATGTTGGAGGGACTAGCCCCTTTTTGGTGAAACCAAAAGAAGCCAAAGATGGAGGCTAGTGGAGTCCCAATTTCATGGGCGGCATTTAAACATGAATTTTGTGAGAAATACTATCCTGCTCTAGTAAAATTATGAAACCGAAAGGTCTTTATGCAGCTGGAGCAGGGTAATATGTCAATAGAGAAGTATGAAGTGGAGTTCACACGATTATCCAGGTTTGTTCCTCATATGAATGCTACTGAGAAAGAAAAGACAGATCTCTTTATCCTTGGTTTGAGGACAGAGATGTAGAGATTAGTGTCTGCCCATGTTTTTTTTTAAAACTTGATACTGCTTATAATACTACTGTGGAACTAGATGCTGCCACCCTGGAGAGTAATCGGGGTTTCAACGGTCAGAAACGACCAAGTAGTAAACAAAAAAAAAAATTCACTTAGATATTCTCAAGTTTGCGACAGCAGGCAGTACTACGACAAGTAGATCATCGGTCTTCTTTAGGTGATAGGAAGGCAATATGTGAAAAATGTGGATTGATGCATGAGGAACCCTGTACTGCCGTAAACAAGACATGTTATAATTGTGGTAAGAGCGACCATCTTGCCAGAGTGCCGTAATGCAACGAATCCTAGTGTGGTATGTGCGAGAGGCTCTAGGAGGAGAAGGAGGTTAGTCGAGTGCTGGAGGATAGCCTCAGTCTCGAGGTAAAGCCTTTGCCACGACGAGCAAGGTAGCGGAGAATGCCAGCTCGGTGGTGACAGGTACTTTACCTATTTGTAGCTACTTCTCTTATTCTATATTTGATTCGGGCTCAACGCATTCCTTTGATATCGTTGTTCGTTAAGCCCGAATTCAAGTAGAGCCTTTAGGTTATGAGGTTTTGGTCTCTACACCTTCAGGAGCCATTGATGACTCGTGAAAAGGTGAAATGAGATAAAGTAGAAGTATCTGGCTAACCGTTAGATGTGTTGTTAATGATGCTAGTTATCTATGATTATGACATTATTTCGGGCATGGATTGGCTATATGTTCATCATGCCAGTATCGATTGTTATAAGAAGGAGATAGTGTCACCTCCTGATGGGAAAGAGCTTCCGGTTTCAGGTTACGAAGCCGGGAAGTGTTTCTAAGATAATAATTGCTCTAAAGGCTAGAAAGTTGATTAGGCATGATGTTGTGGCGTTCCTGGCTAGTGTGGCAAAAGTGAGACGAGTTGATAAAGATGTATCAGTTGTACCTGTAGTGAATGAGTTCCTGGATGTCTTCCTGGATGAGATGCCTGGTTTGCCACCAGAGCGGGAAGTCAACCTTGACATTGAACTTGAACCGGGGATGACACTTAACTCTAAAGCTCCTTATAGGATGGCCCCCACGGAATTGAAAGAGTTGAAATTGCAACTACAAGAATTGTTGAACCAGGGGTTCATACGACCTAGCGTGTCACCGTGGGGAGCTCGTGTTGTTTGTGAAGAAGAAGGACGGTATACTCCGTTTCTGTATTGATTATAAGGAGCTGAATACGGTGACCATTAAAAATAAGTATCCCTTGCCGCGAATTGATGACTTGTTTGACAAGCTTCAAGGGGCAGCGGTATTTTCGAAGATTGATCTTCGTTCTGGTTATCACCAGATAAGAGTCAAAGCTTCAAGGGGCAGCGGTATTTTCGAAGATTGATCTTCGTTCTGGTTATCACCAGATAAGAGTCAAAGAAGATGACGGCAGCGGTATTTTCGAAGATTGATCTTCGTTCTGGTTATCACCAGATAAGAGTCAAAGAAGATGACGTACCGAAGACAGCTTTTCGTACTCGGTATGGGCATTATGAGCTTGTTGTGATGTCCTTTGACTTGACTAATGCCCCTGCAGTGTTTATGGAGCTGATGAATCGGGTATTCCAGGATTTTCTGGATTCTTTTGTCATTGTATTCATTGATGATATCTTGGTTTATTCCAAGACAAACGATGAACATGCAGAACATTTGAGGAAGGTTTTGTTGGTTCTGCGTAAACAAAGATTATATGCCAAGTTCTCAAAATGTGAGTTTTGGCTTCAAAAAGTAGTATTCCTTGGTCATGTGGTATCCAAGGATGGTATAACTGTTGATCCAGCAAAGGTGGAGGCAGTTATAGGTTGGATTCGACCAACTACAGTTACTGAGGTGAGAAGTTTTTTTTTGGGTTTAGCCGGATATTACAGGCGCTTTATTAAAGACTTTGCAAGGATTGCTGCACCACTGACTCAGTTAACCCGAAAACGGAAGAAATTTGATTGGAGTCGAGCTTGTGAAAGTAGTTTTCAGGAACTCAAGGAAAGATTAGCGTCAGCCCCAGTGCTTATTGTACCTGACGGTACTGGGAACCTAGTAATTTATAGTGATGCCGCTAAGCATGGGTTGAGGTGCGTACTTATGCAAAACGGGAGAGTTATTGCTTATGCCTCTCGGCAATTAAAGGATTATGAACGCAGTTACCCAACTCATGATTTAGAATTAGCTGCTGTGGTGGTTGCTCTGAAGGTATGGAGACATTATTTGTATGGTGAGAGGATACAAGTATATACTGATCATAAGAGTCTTAAATATCTGTTCACCCAGAAAGAGCTCATCATGAGGCAACGTCGGTGGTTGGAATTGGTAAAAGATTATGATGTGGAGATCCTACATCATCCTGGTAAAGCTAATGTGGTAGCTGATGCCTTGAGTCGTAAGACAGCTCACTCATCTGCAATGCTAACGAGACAACACAACATTCAGATGGAGTTTGAACGAGCCCAGATAGCTGTCTTGGTCAGGAAAGCGGCAGCTCAGCTAGCTCTTATGACTATTTGTCCGACGTTGCAGGAACAAATTATTCGGGGTCAGCAAAGGGACCCTTATTTTTCTCAAGTTGTGAGGCAACTTGAGACTGAACAAATCAAGGATTTCTGGATAACGGGTGATGGATGTTTGAAGTGGCAGAACCGAACTTGTGTGCCAAATGATGTAGAGATCAAGAGGAAGATTCTATCTGAGGCGCATGAGTCGCCCTATACTGTGCATCCAGGTGCCACAAAGATGTATCATGATTTGAAAACATGCTTTTGGTGGCCTGGGATGAAGAAAGATGTGGCTGAATGTGTGAGTAGGTGTTTAACTTGTCAACAAGTTAAGGCACCTAGACAGAAACCAGCTGGATTATTGCAACCTTTAAATGTGCCTCAGTGGAAGTGAGAAGAAGTGACTATGGATTTCATTACAGGACTACCTAGAACCCAGTTAGGGTTTACAGTGATATGGGTCGTTGTGGATAGATTAACTAAGACAACCCATTTTATACCGGGTAAGTCTATATATTCGGTTGACAAGTGGGCATAATTGTATTTAAAGGAGATTGTAAGGTTGCATGGTGTACCAGTTTCTGTTGTGTCAAATAGGGATATGCGGTTTACTTCTCGATTCTGGAAGAGTCTTCAGGAAGCCCTTGGTATACAACTGAAGTTTAGTACAGCGTTCCATCCTCAGACTGATGGACAGACAGAGAGATTAAATCAAATTCTTGAGGACATGTGTACATGATTTTGCTGGCGGTTGGGACACCTACCTGTATCTGGTTAAATTTGCCTATAACAATAGTTCTCAGGCAACCATTCCGATGATTCTTTTTAGACATGTTATGGATGGAGGTGTCGAACTTCGATTTATTGGAATGAGGTAGATAGAAAATAGTAGTTGGATCCAAACTTGTTACGAATAGTCAATGAGGCGATACAGAAGATTAGGAAAAGAATTCTGATCGTTCAAAGTCGTCAGAAGAGTTATGCTGATGTAAGAAGGAAGGACCTAGAGTTTGACATGGGGGACCACGTGTTCCTGAAGATCGCACCTATTCTTGAAATGTAGAGTTTGATATGGTAAGAGGGGAGAACTTATCCAATGTTTTATTGAACCTTCGTGATTCTCGAAAGAGTTGGGCTAGTAGCCTACATACTAGCATTGTCACTAGTATTAGAGGCTGTACATAATGCTTTTTATGTTTCGATGTTCAGTAAATATATTGAAGATCCTATGTATGTTCTTCGTTATAAAGATTTACCGTGGAAGAGAATCTTAGCTACGGAGAACAGACTATTAAGATTTTAACACGGGAGATGAGATTTTTGCGTAGTAGAGACGTTACCTCCATTAAAGTTTTATGAAAGAAGCAATAATTTTGGAAAGCTACTTGGGAACCAGAAGAAGAATTAAAACTCGAATATTGACATTTGTTCCTAGAGTTAGGAACTTTCGAGGACGAAAGTTTTTAAAAGGAGGGTAGAATTGTAATAACCCGAAAATAATAAATAAATTAATTAATTAAAAAAAAAAAAAAATAATAATAATAATAATAATAATAATAATAATAAAAAAAAAGGAAGACAGCAGCAGCTTGAAGCTGCTGCCATGGAGAAAGGAAGAATGGACAGGTGGTTGAAGGGAAAAGAAAGAAAAGAGAGGAAGATGGAGGTGTGGGAGGAAGAAGGGTGGTTTATTTTGTGTTAGTGTTATGGATGGGGGTGGTGGTTGTCGTTGGCAAGGCCGACGAGGAAGCATCAAACAATACCGAAGAAACAGAGGAAGAGGGAAACAGAAAACAGGGAGTGTTATAATCCGTGTTTTCCGGCAAAAAACCTTAAGTTTTTTTTGGCGTTTGTTGTGACAACGTGCAAACATGAGGATGGGGAGACGATTGTGAAGGCTTTCCAGCCATTGAAGCTCTGAACTAAGCTGAATCGAACGGTAATTCGAAGGTAACGAAAAACCCATTTCACCGAACCTTTAAATCTCGATATCTTGGTTCGTATTGTATAATAAGTTATGAAATAGGGCTTGTTAGAAACGTAATAAGGAGATCTATAAATTTGTAGAAGGAATCAGGATGAAATTCGAACCGTAGAAGGAGGATATGGCTTCGGGATATGGTAGGTATTAACAGAAAAGATGGAAAATTTCAGAAAAACGCAAGGAAGAAGAAGAAGCGCGTGCACTACACGCAGGCGCGTGCGACTGGGCGTGCGACTGGCGCGTGAGGGCGCGTGAAGCGTCCGTTCGGTTCCCGGTTTGTCCCGTTCGATTTGTTTTGACCTGTTCTACCTAGATTGACCTATACTTACCTTGAAAATGGTGAAATATAGGTCTACTTGGAAGGAATTGTGTTGAAATACCCTATTAAATGTACAATCAAGAGAGAAAGGGATTCGAAACCAGGTAAGTAGCGTATCGACCTTTGAACTAGTTCTTAACTTGTTTTACAACATGTGAGTATGTTGTTTACCTGATTAAGAGCTTAATAAGTTATGATGAACTTCGATGATAGTTCGTGTTTATTGTATATTGTGACTGCTTGCCTGTGATGTAAGCATGACATAAACGATTGTCAGAATGTGCTACGTGTGATCATGATACTTGTATGAAAGCATGCAGCAACTGTGAGTATGTTATGCATGTTAATGGAAAGGTTATGATTCTAGATATGCTTATTGGTGGTTGAGCTATGGCTTATTTACTGAGTATGATAGTCTACTAATTCCCGCGGAGTTCCTGGCCAACGCGTTGTGTGCTAAGTCAGGGAGCATGAGTACTCCTGACCGTTGGTATATGAGATAAACAGGCCGCCAGAGCAATTAGTAGACGGGCCGTATTTGACCGAGAGCGAGTCTTACATACGAGTCCGAAAATTCTAGATTAGCATATCGAGAGAGAGTCAGTAACCTAGCTGGAGGTAGCTGAGATACCTCATTGACGAACAGATGACCCTAGTAAGAGAACTAGGAGTCAATGATGAATAAAACCTAAAAACATCTGGAAAGATTAGTTATGAACTCTTGAATGATAAGCTAGCTACTTACTGAGTAATCTAATTACTCATCAAAATTATTATAACTTTTCTTTCCAGATTTAGATGATGCAGGCCAACCGAGGACGAGACCAGCGGACTGAAGACTACTGGGAATCCATGTCTGTGTCTGTTCTGTATATTTATGTTTTCGCTGTCAAGAATTTACTTCGGTTGATTTAAGTTTAAATAGCATTGGTTTTAAATGTTTTACTGAATGTTTTTTTAAATATGTTAAGATTATGATTGGGTGTTAGAGTATGTTGTCGTTGATGGTGGTAACCCCTGTTAATCGCGTTGACGATGAGCGGGCGTTACAAGTATATTAGAAAATTTTAAAAAAAACATTAAAATTGATATTCATTTAATTTAATTTAATTTAAGGGTAGGAAAAAAATTAAAAGGAAATTTATAGCAATGGAAAAGGGAAGGAAAAAGAAATAAAGTTTCTTTTTTTTTTTTATATATATTTTTTACTAAAAAATTAAAAATATTAATACATAGGGAATTAATGTGATCCCCTGGCCACCTTTTATAAGGATGAAGATCTTTCCCTAGCAGACGACTTTTAAAGTCTTGAGGGGAAACTCGAAAGGAAAAGTCCAAAGAGAATAATATCTACTAGCGGTGGACTTGGGTCGTTACAAATCGTATCAGAGCCAGACACTGGACGATGTGTCAGCCTTCTCGCTGTTCCCCAAAGGGGGGTAGACACGAGGCGATGTGCAAGTAAGGACGTTGGCCCTGAAGGGGAGTGGATTTGGTGGCGGTCCCACATCGATTAAAGGAAGGAGTGCACAAACCACCCTTTAGAAGGGTGTGGAAACCCTTCCGTAGCAGACAACTCGAAAGAGAAAGCTCGTTTAAAGAAGACATGTTGGCGGTGGACTTAGTAGTTTTCTAAAAATATACTACAGATCCAAAATTAAAAAATGCAATTTATTTTGTTGCCTTAAAAAATAAGAATTATTAAAGTTGGCAGTTAGCTGTAATTATAAGCGTTAATTAATAACGTCCTTTTAGTACAAAATAAGCAAAATAATTAAACAATTGAAAATAAAACAAATTTTTATTTTTATTTTGAAAGGGAGCCACAAAATAAATAAATAAAAAGTACTTTTTTTTAACTTATTTAAAATTCGTACAATCAAAATAATAAATTTAATTTAATATTTAATAAATCTTTTAAATATTAAATTTTAAATTTAATTTAGTATCTTAATTACTATACTTTAATATTATTCCGACTACCCATTGTTTAGGGGTGGATGATTTAATTTATAATTAAAATTAAGATTTTTTTTGTTTGACTAATAAACATGATTAATGCGCTGTAAATTAAATTAGAGGACCTTTAAGAAAATTTAAATGTGATTATTGCACGTAAAATCCTGACCGTCCAATGGATTAAAGAATAAAAGACGATCCAACCATCCGAAATTAAATGTATCATAGTCAAAAGTAAGATTTATTGTTACATAAATGTTTCAATTAATCATTAATTACTTACAATGTTTAGTATTATTTTTTTTTTAATGAAAATTACTGGCAATTTATTCTAAAAAATTAAAGAATTTTTTCTTAAATAATAATAATAATAATTTTAATGAAATTATGGAATTTTATTGGAAGTATAAGGAATGGGTAAAATGGTATTTTAACCTTTAAAATAAATTGAACAGATAGTTTTTCGTAGTCTAAACCATTTGACAGGCAACTATGTGGAATTTCAATGGCGTCTTCGTTTCTCAGTGCCTTGCAACTCAAAATTCTTCTCATTCTTGGAAATTCCTGTAGTGAACTATAAAAATCATTTGGAAATTCCTCGACTGTTAGGTGTTCTCATTTGGTAATCGAATTCCTCAACAGTTGGAGGTTGTGGCAATCAGAAGCTCAACCTGATTAACAATGGCTTCCATTATTCTCCAGTTGCTGGATTCCTTCATCTAAATGGTAAGGTTCTGCTTCTCCTGTTTGTAATTTGTTTTTCGATTACTCAAAATGAAAATGCAATGTGTATATTCTTTGGAAATTGAGACGGTACTGTGTTTCTGATCGAATAGGCTGCGAAGAGTGATCGGAACATAAAACCTAATAGCGTGATTTGTGATGATTGTGATGGAATCGATAGGTCGATTTATAACTTGTTGCTAACGATTTAGGCTTTGCGAACGCTGATTTTTTTGTAATTTGAATGAAATAGTTGCTGTTATTTGCTCATAATGCCAAGGAAGTGGAGTTGATGCTGTTGATTTCTTCAATGGACAATTCATAGCCGGTGCATCTTGTTGGTTGTGCGGGTAATCTGTGCCCTAATTCAACTATTTGATTCAGCATTCAAATTACAACTGAAGAAGAAGTATTATAACCTGCAATTGACTGATAAACTGAGCTGTTTCTATTTTCTCGTGTTTTCCCCTGAAAATTTGAATTCTACTTGGTGTTGTTTGTTCTGTTGATCAATGGCTTTGTGTTGCAGTGGGAACAAAGGAAATGCTGTGTGGGAATTGTAAAGGAGATGGCTTCTTTGGAGGTTTTTCTCAGCACTTACGATCAATAGAGGTATGTATTGTTAGTTTGTTTATGCTTGTGCATATATTAAGTATCCTGTCATCAACAATGGCGGTAACATTTAGGCATACTGGTATCATATTCAAGTTCCTGACATTAAGTCCTGGCAATCTTTCATATAAGATTTGGCACAGTTGTGAATCTCAGGAGGTCATGCTCTGATCAATCAGTTTTGCATTTTGTACTTTTGGTTTACTAATTGATAAATGCCTCATAAATAACATTAGCTTTTCATAGTTTGTGCAAATATGCTGTGTTCTGCATCTCAAGATGCTAATAGCTCTTCATGAATTAGCTCATCTGCTTTTGAAGCTAGTGGGTCGCCTCGGATTCAATATAGAATACATGAAATACATGGACTCCCCCCTGCAGCTTCCACTAGCTTAACCCCATTTACCCACATTAGGAAACTTTTTCTTTAGTCGAGCACATTCCTTTTATCCCATGGCCAAAACCCGAAATGCACTAGTAAAACTAAGTGATAAGCAACACGCCAGATAGGGGTTGAACCTACGACTTTTTGCTTAGGAAAAAGACATTCTATCCACTAAGCTACAGGCGGCACATGCCAAAAAATAATCACTTCCCGAACATATCATTCCTTTTATCCCATGCCAAAAAATGGGTTGTGGTGGTTTGGAGTTTTGTTTTCGAATAGCCAAACTGAAAACTAAATGATAAGAAGGGCCAGGTAAGGGTCAAACTTATGACTTTAGGCTTAGGAAATAGACTCTCTAATCCACTGAGCAACAGCATCAACCATTCTTATAAAATCTTGTAGTTATGTCAGAAATAATCACTTTCCGAACATCTCATTCCTTTTATCCCATGCCAAAAAATGGGTTTTGGCAGTTTAGAGTTTTGTTTTCGAATAGCCAAACTGAAAACTAAATGATAAGAAACGCACCTAGCAGGGGTTTGGCAGTTTAGAGTTTTGTTTTCGAATAGCCATCGAATAGCCAAACTGAAAACTAAATGATAAGAAACGCACCTAGTAGGGGTCAAACCTACGACGTTCTACTTAGGAAACAGACGCTCTATCCATTGAGCTACAAGCACATTGAGCATTCTTGTAAAATCTTGTAGTTACGTTAGAAATAATCACTTTCCGGGTTTTGGTGGTTTGGAGTTTTGTTTTCGAATAATCACTTTCCATTGAGCTACAACTTTCTGCTTAGGAAACAGACACTCTATCCACTAAGCTACAAGCGCATTGAACATCTGATTCCTTTATCCCATGCCAAAAACTAGGGTTTGGTGGTTTGTTTTCGAATAGCCATGATAAGAAACGCGCCAGGTAGGGGTCGAACCTATGACTTTCTGCTTAGGAAACAGACGCTCTATTCACTGAGCTACAAGCGCATTGAGCATTCATGTAAAATCTTGTAGTTACGTTAGGAATAATCACTTTCCAAACATCTCGCTCCTTTATCTCATGCCAAAAACTAGGTTTTGGTGGTTTGTTTTCGAATAGCCAAACTGAAAACTAAAGGATAAGAAACGCGCCAGGTAGGGGTCGAACCTACGACTTTCTACTTAGGAAACAGACGCTCTATCCACTGAGCTACAGGCGCATCGAGCATTCTTGTAAAATCTTGTAGTTACGTTAGAAATAATCACTTTACAAACATCTCATTCCTTTATTCCATGCCAAAAACTAGGTTTTGGTGGTTTGTTTTCGAATAGCAACTAAATGATAAGAAACGCACCAGGTAGGGGTCGAACCTACAACTTTCTGCGTAGGAAACAAACGCTCTATCCATTGAGCTACAGGCGCATCGAGCATTCTTGTAAAATCTTGTAGTTACGTTAGAAATAGTCACTTTACAAACATCTCATTCCTTTATCCCATGCCAAAAACTAGGTTTTGGTGGTTTGTTTTCGAATAGCTAAATTGAAAACTAAATGATAAGAAACGCGCCAGGTAGGGGTCGAACCTACGACTTTCTGCTTAGGAAACAGACGCTCTATCCACTGAGCTACAGGCGCATCGAGCGTTCTTGTAAAATCTTGTAGTTACGTTAGAAATAATCACTTTACGAACATCTCATTCCTTTATCCCATGCCAAAAACTAGGTTTTGGTGGTTTGTTTTCGAATAGCCAAATTGAAAACTAAATGATAAGAAACGCGCCAGGTAGGGGTCGAGAACCTACGACTTTCTGCTTAGGAAACAGACGCTCTATCCACTGAGCTACAGGCACATCGAGCATTCTTGTAAATTTTTGTAGTTAGGTCAGAAATAATCACTTTTCAAACTTGTAAATTCACAGGCTCATTGAGCATTCTTGTAGGGTTTTGGTGGTTTAGAGTTTGCACTAGGTAGGGGTTGAACCTACAACTTTCTAAGTAAGGGTTGCTTAGGAAACAGACGCTTTATCCACTGAGCTACAGGTGCATTTGAGCATTCTTGTACATTCTTGTAAATTTTTGTAGTTACGTCAGAAATTATCACTTTCTGAACATATCATTCCTTTTATTTCCATGACGTATGCCAAAAATATACTTTTATCTCATGTGCTTTTTGTCTCTTGGTTCGCTTCTCGTTCTCGAAATAAGGATGAATTAGCAGCAATATTGCTCTAAATAACTTGCGATTACAAGAAACAATCTTCAAATAACTTGCTTTCTATAACGACATCCTTGAACTTATAATTCTTAGGAATCAAATGTTGAATTGATTCATTCAAAGTATATACTTCAAGGTAATCTCATGCTTATCCTATCAACCTAGGGGCTGGCGTTGGTCATGCAAAAGAGATTAACACTTCGATGTTTGCCAAAATAATATTGAGTAAAATTGAAATCAACGCGCCAGGTAGGGGTCGAACCTACGACTTTCTGCTTAGGAAACAGACGCTCTATCCACTGAGCTACAGGCGCTTGTTGAGCCTAGCAACCCACAAAAATTATAAATTATAAAAGTTTTGTAAAAATGATATTTATTTTTATAATTTTTTTAATAATTCTTTTTAAATATTAAATCACAGAGGCTTTTTTTTTTTTTTTTCTTGAGAGAAGAGAAAAATTGCTTTGTTTATTTATATATTTATAAGTTTATGAAGATCTTTAACTTATATACTTTCAAAATTTTATAATACATTAATCATTGATCTCATTATAATTCTCAGAATAATTTTAACAAAAACATTCAAATTAGCGAAATCCATATAAATATATATGCACAACTCTTGCACCCCAAACACCGACTTCCTTCACTCAAATAAAACAACTCAACGCCTAAAACACAAATTATTTAACTTTATAGACTAAAAAACTTCAAACCTAATAACTTCACTCAGCCCCAAAATGCGTCAGAGTTGAGGAAGAAAACTCATATTTTCATCTCTTTGTAATGTTCAGAGCCACGAGAAAACATCTATTGTTGAACTTCCACCTCTAATCTCCTTCAGGGCTTCCAGGGCCGATAATGTTAGCTTCATGTACATACTCTCCATGTGCTCGATCTCTTCAAGATCTTCGGGAATGTTCAACACCTTTTCTTTACTCTCCGACGCAGTCTTCGCCTCCGAGCCACCCATTATTCCTTCCTCATTGACTGTTTCAGAAGCAGATGACAGGTCTTTCTTGAAGAAGAGAAGATCGAGTACCATCTCGCACTCCTTTAATAGCTGACCGAGCACATCGGTTGAGTAGAACGGTTGGCGTAACACCTTCTTGATGAAAGGCACACGGATGAGCTCGCCACTTCGCTTGTCATACTTCTTTAGAATCTTTGCCAGTCCTGTGCTTGGAATGTATTTGAATGAGTTTTATTCAAAGAATGGACTGTTATGTTTGAAAACGGGAAGAATGAAAGTTAGTGCAGGGCAGATATACCTCTCACCAAACTTTATTACACTAGAAGACCCACAGTCCCTATAATATAAATCAAATAAAACGTCGATCTTGTAAGTCGATATGGATATACTAACTACTACTAAAGGCATTTTCGACACGAAGCTCGTATGTAACAGCTCAAGTCCATTGCTAGTAGACATTGTCCTCTTTAGGCTTTCTCTCAAGGACTTCCCCGAAAGGTTTTTAAAACACGTCTATTAGGGAGAGGTTTCCACACCCTTTATAGATCTCACATTGGTTGGGGAGGAGAACGAAACGCCCTTTATACGGGTGTGGAAAACTCTCCCTAGCAAACACGTTTTAAAACCTTAGGGGAAGCCCGAAAGAGAAAGCCCAAAGAAGACAATATCTATTAGCGGTGGGTCTAGACCATTACAAATGGTATCAGAGCCAGACATCGGGCAATGTGCCAGTGAGGAGGCTGTTCCCTGAAGGGGGGTAGACACGAGGCGGTGGCACCAATAAAGACGCTGGTCCCCAAAAGAATGCTTCGTTCCCCTCTCCAACCGATGTGGGATCTCACAACATTATATTCCCAACGAGGACCTCTCGAACAGAGTAAGGGAAGAAAATTTTAGGCAGGAGGCTCTTGATGGTAAGAGTTTGGAATGATTAGAGATACCCTCCCATCTAATATCTTGGATTCAAGTCTTCGGGTCGAGATTTCATAATTTAAAATTCTCGTATCTCGAAGCTGGCTTCCTGATTCGCAAAGCCTAGCTCGAGATTCATAGGGATAAGTCATGAGCATAATGTAACGATTCTAAATTATCTCACCTCCTTACATCTTGTCCTAATTCAACATTTCAAAATTCTCTTGAAACACAATCATGGATAGATTATGGTAAGTTTAGAATCAGAATCCAATAAAAAAGCACAAGGAGGGGAAGAAAAAGGAATAGGAAGCAACACAAACCTGTGTAATTCAAGGCACTATAATTCTCTAACAAAACCATTTCTCCATGGAAGTCCACAATGTCTCTCCCTACTTTCATCAGCCGTTCGTCCGAATCTCCGATCTCTGCTACCCTCTCCTGCAACAACTGCATTCCGAACGACTTCTTATAGCGAATGTAAATGCATAGAGTTTTATTTAGCACGTCTTAAAGGAAAAACGTGGCGTTCAACGTCATTACCAAATGGTAAAAAGAAACAGATGCCTAGCAGACCAACTATTCAAATGACTGAGAGACATCTATTAAGAAGATACTAAGAAAAAGCAGCAATGTTTCTATCAAGTTCAATTGTTCCATGCAAGGAAAGTTGTAACAATTCAAGCCTACTCCTAATAGATATTGTCTACTTTGGCCCGTTACGTATCACCGTTAGCCTCATGGTTTTAAAACGCGCCCGTTAGAGAGATGTTTCCACACTCTTATAAGGAACG